TAACAGAGAGAAAGGCTGAATTTAAGTTTTTGCTGCTGCTGCTGCTAAGGCGCATCAGTCGTGTCCGACTCTGTGCAACCCCATAGACAGCAGCCCACCAGGCTCCCCCGTCCCTGGGACTCTCCAGGCAAGAACACTGGAGTGGGTTGCCATTTCCTTCTCCAACGCATGACAGTGAAAAGTGAAAGTGAGGTCACTCAGTCGTGTCCGACTTTTCACGACCCCATGCAGCCTATCAGGCTCCTCTGTCCATGGGATTTTCCAGGTGAGAGTACTGGAGCGGGTGTCATTGCCTTCTCCTAAGTTTTGCACCAGCTTACTTTAACTTCATTTAGGTAAACTTAATTAAATTTATTTTCAACTTAGTCAGTCCTAACCATGCACAAAACCTTTTCATGGTCTACCTTCCACAAAGTTTTAATCACTTTCTGTAACAGCCACCTGTAAGTCAGACCTACTTTCTTTCCCATTATAAAATGCAATTTTATTTTTTATATCTTTTTTATTAAAAATACACAACCTATTTTCTTATTAGATTAGCAAACAAGCATTAATACTAGATATTTACTATTGAATATTTTCCATTTCACTTGAATCTGAAATTTGTTTAGGTTAATTTTTCTTGCATTTAGAATTGTTTGATTTGTAAGTGCTGACTTTTCTTTAGGCCAATTAAATTGCAATTCATTTACAATTTCAACAATATTATCAGAAAAAAGACATATATTGAGACATACATAAATCCAGACAGAGTGACAGAGATCTTATAGTTTTCTGTTTGAGATTTAAAATATCTCTTCGACCCCCTTTTTTTCTTCGCTTGAAGTTCTAATTTGCACTCTGTTCAATCAGCAATCAGTTCAGTTCAGTCGTTCAGTTGTGTCCAACTCTTTGCGACCCCATGCACGCCAGGCCTCCCTGTCCATCACCAACTCCCGGAGTTTACTCAAACTCATGTCCAATGAGTCGGTAATGCCATCCAACCATCTCATCCTCTGTCGTCCCCTTCTCCTCCTGCCCTCAATCTTTCCCAGCATCAGGGTCTTTTCAAACGAGTCAGCTCTTTGCATCAGGTGGCCAAAGTATTGGAGTTTCTTCTTCAACATCAGTCCTTCCAATGAACACCCAGGACTGATCTCCTTTAGGATGGACTGGTTGGATCTCCTTGCAGTCCAAGGGACTCTCAAGAGTCCTCTCCAACACCACAGTTCAAAAGCACCGATTCTTCTGCGGTTAGCTTTCTTTACAGTCCAACTCTCACATCCATACATGACTACTGGAAAAACCATAGCCTTAACTAGATGGACCTTTGTTGGGAAAGTAATGTCTCTGCTTTTTAATATGCTGTCTAGGTTGGTCACAATCAGCAATCACTCACTCACAATCATTCAGAGGCTATCACGATGCCTCCCTTCCTTCAGAGTCTCCAAGTTTCCTTAACTGCTGCTGCCTCCCTGGGAGCCCAAGGAGGTGATCAGTCTCCTCTTCTACCCGCTGGGGTAGGTTCCTGCCTGGGGACTGATCCCGGAGACTTGCCTTATCCTGTGACCATTCCTGGTGAGTTGGTCTGTCACTCCAGTGAGTCCAGTTGGGGCTTGGCTATCCGGAAAGTTGGAACACTGGTCCAAAAGAGAACCCAGAATACCGTCAGGTGGCACGTCTCCTCGTTCGTCTCGGGGTTCCTTCACTCCAGCCCGGCTGAGCCACCAGTCTGGCTTCTAAAGGGGCCGGCGTGGTTGGAATCTCGCTGGGGCCTCCAGAAATGCTGCAGAAACCAGTACTCGAGAAACCAAACACCACACTTGGAGAGTTGGAGAATCAAGTTTATTATGCTGGCGGGCCCAGAGGTGTTAACACTCTAAGCTCTGGGACCCGAACAAAAGGATTACAGAGTTTTTATAGATGGACTATAGTGGGCAACACTAGCTGTTAATAGGCTGGTTTAACTAAGGGGTTTTGAGTGTGCGGGAACAGTGGTCAAGATGGGGAGGGGGATGTCTGACCTGGACAGGCAGACATGATTAAGCAGGTTTGCAGGAGCTGGGTGATTGCAAAGAGCAGGACAAGGGTGAGTGAGATAAACTCCAGTTCCTAGTATTGCAAGTCCCCACTTTCTGAGACTACATGACCTATGCCATCTAGATTTTGCAAGGGGCAAGCTGAGTTACAGAGGCAGAAGGAGGAGGAGGTGATGTAAAATTTTAACTTTTCCTCTTCACTAGGGGCGGGGCCTCCAGGGGCGGGGGCTTTGGCAGCTGCGGCTCTCAGGCCCTAGGCTTCAGTAGCCGGGGCACACAGGGTTGCTTGTTCCACAGCATGCGGAACCTTCCCGGACCAGGGGTCAGACTCATGTCCCCTGCATGGGTAGGTGGATTCTTACCCACCGAGCCGCCAGGGAAGGCCTGATCCTTTCTGTCGGTGGGTGTCTGAGTGGTGTCAAGTTTTGACTGTTATGAGGAGTGTTGTTCTGACATTCTGGCCCATGCCTTTGGTGAACATCTATATACCTTCTTCTTAGCATTTAAAGGGACCCTTGTTTTCTTTATGGGAAGAACCAATCGTGTATAGATCAGGTCAGGACCCAATTTTTATAGTGGGTCTTTTCATTTTATTTCTCTAATTGAAGTAGAGTTGATTGACAATGTTGTGCCAACCTCTCCTGTGCAGCACAGTGACTCAGTTATACACACAGAGACGTTCTTTTTTTAAAATATTCATTCCCATTGTGATTTATCACAGGATATTGCAGACAGTCCCCCGTGGTACACAGTAGGATCTTGCTGCTTACCCATCCAGATGTAACAGCTCACGTCCGCTAATCCCAGACTCCGAGCCTTTCCCTTCCCTCCTCCCTCCACCTCGGCAACCACAGGTCTGTTCTCTACATCCGTGAGTCTTTCTGTTTGGTTGATATGTTCATTTATGCCATATTTGAGATTCCACATATAAGTGCTATCATATGGTGTTTGTCTTTGACTTTCTGAGTTACTGCACTTAGTAGGATATTCTCTAGTTGCACCTATGTTGATGAAAATGCTCAGTTGTGTCTGACTCTTGTGACCTCACGGACTGTAGCCCACCAGATTCTTCCGTCCGTAGGAATCTCCACGCAAGAATGCTAGAGTGGGTTGCCATTTCCTTCTCCAGAAAGTGGGATTATTCATTCTTTCTTATGGCTTGGTAGTATTCCCGTGTGTGTGTATGTGGATATATACACACCACCTCCTCCTCATCCACTCATCTGTTCATGGACATTTAGGTTGTTTATATGTCTTGGCTATTGTGAATAGTGCTCCGATGAACATAGGGGTGCATGCATCTTTTTAAATTAGTTTTGTCCATGTCAATGCCCAGGTGTAGGAGTGCTGGATCAGATCGTAATTCTATTTTTTGTTTTCTGAGGAACCTCCACACACTTTAACATAGTCGCCGCACCAACTTATATTCTCACTAACAGGGTAGGAGGGTTCCTTTTTCTCTACCCTCTCTCCAGCATTTGTTAAATGTAGACTTTCTAATGGTGGCCATTCTGACCAGTGTGGGGTGATATCTCAATGAAGTTTTTATTTGCATTTCCCTACTAATTAGTGATGCTGAGCATCTTCTCATGTGCCTACGTAGAACAGCGAGAACAGTGGGATGTCTTTAGAGAAGTGGCCGTGATCTATTTTTAAGAGAAGCGGAATTCCAGCCAGGGTTAAATCCTCAGCCACAACCAGTGATTCAGGACACACGTTTCCTGGAAGGAGACAGAGGAGGCCCTGAGACCAGTGCACTTTAGCTCCTCATCACCTGCCCAGGTGCCCTGAACCCTCAGGGTGGGCAGAAGAGGCCTGAACACCCGTTAGAAGACAGTGGATCCCCTGCAGCAGCTGAGAAATGAGCTCCTTTCGTCATGACCAGAGGGCTTGCTTCGGAGTGGATCTCAAGGCACAGATCCCGGTGGTGGAATCTCATGGTGACCAAGGAGGAGTCTGTCAACCTGGGGCTCACACACACACACACACACAGCATGGGGCACTCAGCACACCCACCAAACCTGGGGAGCTGGGCCCTCTTCACCTCTGGGTAGCTCTTAGCAGCATGGAAGCCACAAGACCACACATGACTTGAAATAAACAGAACTGGCCAGGACAGAGTGAGAAAGAAGGGGTCAGAGGCTCAGAGAAACTCGCCTGCTAAAATAGGCCAGAGGAAAGGAGAGACAAAGAGTCCGTCCAGAGAGGAGGGGGAGAGGGAGCAGGGGACACAAGGGGCCCCTGAGGGCAGTGGGGAGGGTCACCCAGGACACAGAAGAATCAGCGGTGCCTGTGCAGGGCGGTGACCAGCAGCCAGGAGCCGGGGGGCAAGTGCAGACGTGGGTGAGGAAGCCTCTGGACAAAATGGGTGAAAGGAAAAGGGGCTTCTCCTTTCTGATCCTCCCCCAGGGCGGCCTCTGCTCTGCAGTGACTCAGGACCTCAAAGGGAGCCGACCCCAGGGAGGGGCAGGGGTCAGGCTCAGGGCAGGAAGGTGGTCTGAGAAGCTGCCTGCAGGGAGGGGAGGGTGGGGCTGTTTCTGCAGTGAGGCTGGACCTGAGCCCCGAGCTCCGCCTTCTCCCCGAAGTGCAGACCCAGTTGAGCCCATTCCTGCCTCAGACCCCTGCTCTGGGGTCCTCTCTCCTCGCCCACCACCAGCTCTGCCCCCCCCCCCGCCCCCCGCAGCAGCGATGTCTCAGCTCCTCGTAGGCACACTCGCCTGGGCCCGGACCACTTGTTCTCCCCAGAGGCACAGAGGTCTGGACAGAGCTCTCATCACGTGCTGCAATTCATCCTCTCAATCAATGACACTCCTTTCTCCTAATATGTAAATGCAGAAGTAGGTGCTGAAGTGGGAAGTGAACCAGAGACAAGTGCAGAGGAGGTTCAGGCAACGTCTCGAGGCTTGAGGGACATCTGGTGTGTCCACTTCTGACCTTGGCTCCGGGGCCTTGACGGGCGCTGAGAGCTCCTTAGCTCCGAGGATGGGAGGCAGGAGCACGTGTCTGCTTCCGGCTCTGCTCCTTCTCGTCATCCCAGGTGAGTGGGGCGGGGCTCAGACCCTGGAGTGACTGAGGCAGGAGATTCTGAGGGTCTGTCCTGGGGGAACATGGCAGGGAACATGACAGGGTCCATTTGTTCACCCAGACACTTAGTTGTTAATCAAATATCACGTTTACTGTTAACATCTCATAGGTTCTATGTTAGGTGCTGGGAAACAAGAAATCAAACCAAACCAAAGTGTCTCCCCCTTTAGGACAGTGTTTTTCAACCTTGGTCATTCTACACAAACAGATGAATGAAGGAAAATGGGAGTAATGAAGGAACCCACTCCTGAAGAGCTTTTTAAAGCTTTATTTCTGGCTGCAGTGGGTCCTGGGGGTGCGCTGGCTTCTCAAAGCAGTGGCTTCTCTGGTTTCGGAGCACAGGCTCCAAGGGGTGCAGGCTCCACAGCTGTGGTCAGGCAGAGTTGCCCGCCTCACCCATGGATGGGGAATCTTCCTGGACCAGGATGGAACCCGTGCCCCTGCACTGGACCATCGGGGAAGTCCTTATGGTTTTTATTGTGATTTTCCCCCCACTATTTTGTTCTTTGGGGCATCCCTGGTAGATCAGAGGGTAAAAAATTTGCCTGCAGTGCAGGATATCCTCGTTTGACCCCTGGGTCGGGAAGATTCCCTGGAGAAGGGAATGGCAACCCACTCCAATATTTTTGCCTAGAGAATTCCATGGACAGACCATGGGGTGGCAAAAAGTCAGACTTGACTGAGAGATAACATTTTCGCTTTATTTTGCTCTTTAGACATTTTCTGAGCACGTGGAAATGGTTCACTTCTGTTTTGTTAAAATTTCTGGCTTAGTTGAATTATATCCAGAGAACATACTCAGTGACTTCAGTCCTTGGAAAATTTCAGCGACCTATTTCGTGGCAGGTCTCTTTTAACGGTCAATTTTTGTAAATATTCTCTATGTGCTTTAAAAAAACGTGTTGTTTGAAGTTGTTAGATCGTGTTCCACATGCTTCTAGTTGCATCTCAAACTCATGCTGAACAATCATGCTGAATGTTTATTGACTGTAAAGAAGTGGTCAGAGCTTCTGTGAATGGGTTTGCATTTGCATGCATGCATGCTAAGTTGCTTCAGTCGTGTCTGACTCCTTGTGACTCCATGGACAGTAGTCTCTCAGCTCTCTGTCCATTGGATTCTCTAGGCAAGAATACTGGGGTGGGTTTCCAAGCCCTCCTCCAGGGGATCTTGCTAACCCAGGGACAGAACTCTTGTCTCCTTCTGCTCCTGAATTGCAGACGGATTCTTTACCACTGAGCCACTGGGAAGCTCCAGGTTTGTGTTGACTTCAGTAAATTTAAATCATTTTTAATGGAGGTCTGATTTAAGTTATTTCCAGGACTCTGAGTGCCTTTACACAAGTTTCAGTTCATTTCAGTCACTCAGTCATGTCCAGTTCTTTGCAACTCCATGGACTGTAGCACAGTAGGCCTCCCTGTCCATCACAAACTCCTGGAATTTAATCAGACTCGTGTCCATTGAGTCGGTGATGCCATCCAACCGTCTCAACCTCTGTCATCCCATTCTCCTCACACCTTCAATCTTTCCTAGCATCAGGGTCTTTTCCAATGAGTCAGTTCTTCACTTTAGGTGGCCAAAGTATTGGAGTTTCAGCTTTAGCATCAATCCTTACAATGAATATGCAAGACTGACTTCTTTTAGGATGGACTGGTTGGATCTCCTTGCAGTCCAAAGGACTCTCAAGAGTCTTCTCCAATACCACAGTTCAAAAGCATCAATTCTTCAGCACTGAGCTTTCGTTATAGTCCAACTCGCACATCCATTCATGACTACTGGAAGAACCATAGGCTCAACTAGACAGACCAAGACTGAAAATAATGAGCCAGTGAGTGCTGTCCTAGAGCAGAAGGTTGCAAAGAAGAGAGAAATAGTTTTTTCAGTTTACTCATTGTTGAACTCCTGATTGAATTATTTCCCTTAGATTTAATAAAAGCTTACAAGCCACCTAAAGGCATACATAGGTGTTTCTCTGTTTCATACCTAACCTGTCCTTGCTTTTATCCTACAAAAGCTCTTCTCCCGGGAATTTGGGAGTGGAATTCACAATTCAGTGAACATAATGGGATATGTCCTGTATGGAGTCCATAGCACATGGAGCCCCAGTAGCAACCACTGTTCTGGTCAGCTTCAGGGAGGCCCCTGCTGGCACATTTACTACACCATACCCAGTTTACTAGAGCTTACCGGTTTACTACATCGTAACCAGTAGGAACAGCCTCCCCACAGACATGCTAAGGGGGTGTGTCAGCTGGACCTCCTGAGGTCATCAGTGCAGAGTCATCTTCTGTGGAAATGGGTCCCCTGGCCTTTCCTCCCCATCAGAGCAGAGTAACACAGGGATGGCTGCAAATGGACACGGTGGGAATGGAAAGGCTTAGTGGCCGCAGACAGGGGAAGTGGGGTTATTACAGGAAGTTACTCTTGCTCTGTGTCGATGCCTGTATTTCTTTGAAATCTGCAGTTGTGCTTTTATGGGATTTTCCTGGTGGCTTTGACTAGTATTTTGAAGGGCAAAGGGTCCATCTTGTGGAAGGTGTATTCCTTTCTTGACTGTTTCTCCGCTCAGGAGGCCCTTGTGTCTGGTTGAACTATTCACAATGCAGGAGGCTGTGGCCCTGCCCCCAGGGCGGGAGGCGACAGGTGCATGGATTTGTATTTCCAGGCTCATCTGCCATCTCGGGTCCCAGAGCAGAGAGAGGTGTGGAGCAGGAATCACTGACCGTGCGGTGTCGATACGACCCTGGGTATGAGTCCTACCTGAAGTGGTGGTGCCGGGGGGCCGACTGGGGCAGCTGTCGGATCATGGTTAAAACCACTGGATCAGAGAAGGAGGTGAAGAAGGGCCGCGTGTCCATCAAGGACAACCAGAAAGACCGCTCGTTCACCGTGACCATGGAGAAGCTCAGGCTAGATGATTCAGACACTTACTGGTGTGGGATTGAGAGAATTGGACCTGACCTGACGAACCGAGTAGAAGTGACCATTGACCCAGGTGAGAGTCTGTGTCCGTGTGGACATGTCTCTTCAGGGCCTGCTCTGTCCAGGGACCCAGCTGGCCCTCAGAGTGAATGTCATGGGGTGGGGGAGTCCTGAGGTCTCACGGAGCCCCCACTGACTACCTAGGCTGGGAGGGGCAGGGCTTCCCCTCGATGCTCTCCTGGTTCCAGGGCCTCCTGTGGGAGGGGATCAGGCTTTCCCGGCACCTTGCTTTCCTCTGCACAGTCAATGCCTGAGTCTGTTCCCAAGGAGATGAAGGTGGTGGTCCCAGTGTCAGCCCGTGGGCCAGAGGGACCCTTCTCAGAGGGACCCTATTCCTGCAGTGCTTTCCTGGGACCCCTGCTGTCCTGGGGTGTTCCTGCTCTTTCTGGAATTCAGGCTTGGGTCTTCAGGGCTGCCATGCCCCCCGCGTGGTCCATATCTCATCTCAAGGGAAAGACCCAGCCCAGTGGGGGATGCTGTGCTTAATTTCGGGGTCTGGAAAGGGCTCCACAGTCAGAAGGCTGCATTTCTGATGCATGAAACCCCATCAGGACCCATTTGTACGTTTGCATTGAATGACACTCTTCCTAAATCCTTCTAGAAGGCAAACGCTCCTGGGCTTATCAGCTGAGGCACCTTGGTTTGACAGATTTTTGTCTGTTGGGCTCTGCCTCTGCTGACTCTCGGACCAGGCAACACCAGCTCACTGGGAACCTCTGGCAAAGAGGGGTGGGCACACAGTCAATAGCTCCCCTACACATACACCTGGAACCTGTGAGGCTCATTCTATTTGCAAAGCAGAGCAGGTTCCTCATCTCATTCAATCCTGACAACATTCCTGAGAGGAACTGTCCCCATCGTGGGAGCTTAATAACGTCCTCCAAGTGCAGGCTCTTCCTGAACCTCGGGACTTTGCTCAGGGCTGGTCCTGACCTTTGAAGTCCCAGATCTTGGCTACGTCAGCTGCCTGGTAGCCCCCAGTCTACTCCTGTCCTCCTGGATAAGTAGATGTGGGAGGCACTGGCCGAGGCCCCGGCATAAGCAGCTGGAGCGTTTGGATTCAGCTGCCCTCCAGCTGCCCTTGTCCCGAGGCGACCCTGGGCCCCTCTGACCTCCCTGGACCTGTGCCAGCCCCACTGCCTCTGAGGCTCTGAGTCTCCCGGAGGCCAGGGAGACATGAGCAGTCCAGGCTGTCGGCCCCTCCCTTGGCCCTGCTCCAGACTCCTCAGGGCAGGGAGGCCCCTGCTTCCCCAAACCCCATCCCCCAGACTCAGAGGCACTTTTCGGGCTGCAGGTGGGTGAGCAGGCAGAGTGCTGTGTAACCTGGTCTGTTGTCTTGCAGCTGGAGAGTCGATCTCCACATCTGCCACCTCCAATGCCAACATGTTCACGGCACCTGTTGCCCCAGAAGGGCACGCGTAAGTACCAGTTAGGGCTTTTGACCTTCATGAGATGCCTGATTCACTCATTTATCCAACAAATAAGCACTGAGTACACACTCTTGCCCATCCTTTTTTTCAAAAAAATTTTTTTTATTTATTTTATTTTTTGGGGGATATGCTTGGTCTTCATGGCTGTGCATGGGCTTTCTAATGATTCCTGCATTGGCTTTGGATTCTTTATCACTTACCACCAGGGAAGCCTGCCCATTCCTATTTTAGGAATACTAGGGAATATGAGGATTATCCAAATATGCAGCTGTCTGCCTTCCGGGTGCTTATATTACATAATCAACGTACCAAACAGGGCTAAGTGATTGATTCACGACTTTATTTGAGAAACTTCTGTGAAGAGTGAGGAATAAGGGATGATTCTGGTATTAGCTTGGCTGCCATGACAAAGTAACACAGGCCAGGCGGCTTACACAGCATTCATTTCTCACAACTCTGGAGGCCAGGGTCTGCGGTCAAGGTGTCAGCAGATTTCCTTTCTTCCAAGGCCTCCCTCCTTAGCCGTGTAGACCGCCGTCTTCCTCGCTGTGGCATCATGTGTTTCCCCTCTGTGTGTGTCTGTGTTCTAAGCTCTTCTCCTTCTGATGAGCACACTAGTCCTTTCCTGCCCAGGAGAGCAGCAAGGGTCAGAGCAGTGAGACATGAAGGAGAGTCCGGGGGTGAAGGCCATTGTCACCCTGGGGTCCCGGGTTGGCGCTCGTGTAGGTTATTGGAACCGGGACCTGGGAGAGCTGGGAGGAGGGGGCCTGGGGGCAGCTCACTTCCTGTCCCCCTGTCCCCCACAGGCCCCGGCTGGGCAGCGTCCACTTCCTGCTCCTGGTCTTCCTGAAGGTGCCCCTGCTCCTGGGTCTGCTGGGTGCTGTCCTCTGGGTCAACAGGCCTCTGAGGAGCTCGGGGGGGGAGCCCCAGGAAAACCAGCAGCCCCCATGGTCTTCAACGCTGTCCAGAGAGAAAGACCCTCAAACAGAAGAAAAAGGCATTTCTTGCAGGCAGTGACGGTGGTCAGCAGTGACTGTGGTTCTCGAGGCAGCGTGGCTCCCCTGCCTCAAGAATCAGCCCCCTAGTCCCTGGAAACCTGCTGCTGTGATGCTCGGGCCTGGATCTAGTTTCACCCTTCCCTGCACAGCCTCTGACCTTCTTCGTCCTGAGGCCTCCAACACAGGAGAAACTACAGGAAGGAATGGAAGAGCAGATGCCTTTCCTCTGGGCCCTGTTCCTTGGAGGACATACATGATCTCAAGTCTGTGCCGCACACAATGTAATACACTTGTCTTTGCATTGTATGCGGGGCAGGACATCAGCCAATCATGGGTTTGAGATTCTCTGTGTGTGTGCTGGATCGTGTCCGACTCTTTGTGACCACATGGACTCTAGGACCCCACGAGGCTCCTGTGTCCATGGGATTCTCCAGACAAGAACACTGCAGTGGGTTGCCATTTCCTCCTCCAGGGGATCTTCCTGACCCAGGAGTTGATCCCGTGTCTCCTGCATCTCCTGTATTTGCAGGTGGACCACTGAGCCACCTGGGAAATTCTAGAACCCATGAAAGTAGAAAAATGTGCAAAACAATGATAATATGCCAACTGCATGTGAAGATATGAAGCTCTAAGTGGACAGAGGGACTTGCTGGTGGCCCCGTGGGTAAGAATCTGCCTTGCAATGCAGGGGCTGTGGGTTCGATCCCTGGTTGGGGAACCAAGACCATGCAGTGCAATGAAAGATTTTGCATGACTCAAGGAAGATCCCAGGGGCGATGCAGCCAAATAAAGAAAGTATTTTCTTAAAAAGTGGCAGAAGACTCTGGCGTCTCTGCCCTGATGTATTTTGTGTTTGTGTGAAATGAGATTCTAGTCCCAGTGCCATCCCTAACCACACCTGAAGATGAGAGTGACCTCACAGCCACTCCTTGTCACCCTAAGTCCCCGCCCCATCAATCTCTCCATTCGCTTCCCTCTCCCGAATGTATTCAGTCTGGCTGTGACTCTCACTTGCGGTGTGTGAGGAGATCCTCCATGCATCTTGGGGATGGTGGAGTAATCCATCAGTCAGACCCTGGAGTTAGAACAGATCAGCAGCTGTGAGCTAGGCTGGGCTGGAGAGGGTGGGGTTTGGAGAAAACTCTTTATTCTTATGAAGATCTCTAGATGAGAGTCTTGGGATATGAATTAAGCTCTTCCTGTTGGTTCATTGTGGAGGAAGGGGGCAGGGCTGTTTAGAAAAGGACAACTGCTTTCTTCTCAAGCTAGAGGCTAAACCTTGAGACTCTCTCTTGCCCCCTGAGAGGGGAGGGGCACATAAGAGAGAGACCACAGTTTCAGTCTCCTGTCCTGCCATCCAGCTGAAGATTTTGCCTTCACATACCTAAAGCTCAGGTGGGAAATTGACTGTATTCAAAGACAAAATGAGGTTGGGGAGGCCCATCCCAGACTTCCCAAAGACTCTGCTGACACAAGGAAACATCAGAGGGACCATGTGTGGGGGCCCCAGCTTGAGTACCCCAGAGGATAGAGTTATCAGGTTTAGCAAATAAAATCGCAGGACACTGGGGCTTCCCTGGTGGCTAAGACTCCACTTCCCAATGTAGGGGATGTGGGTTCAATCTCTGATTGGGGAGCTAAGAGCACACATGCCTTGTGGCCAAGAAATATAAAAAACAGACACAATATTTTAAACCGATAAAACTTTAAAGTGGTCTACGTTAAAAAAAAATCTTGGAAAAAGCTCCACAGGACACTCAGTTATAATTGAAGTTTGGCTAAACAACAAATATTTGAAAATATAAGTATATCCCATGAAATATTGGGAAAATACTTATAGTAAAAATTGGAGGTTCCATTGAAAGAGGACTGTCAGGCTTGTCTAGTTCCAAGGAAGGCAGAGTGGGTGCCATCAATGACCAAAATGGGGACACGGTCTTTTTCAAATTCTTCTACCTGAGCTGAGCATGTCCTGCTCTGAGAGGCTAAGACAGGCGTCTTCTGATGTCACACACTCCTTCCCTCACTCACACTCATACACGTGGTCTTAGGAAGGGTTTGGGGATTCAGTTTTATAGTTTGAATAAGAATGAAGGGGACCCTGAAACCTCAATCCCCCTGCAACATGATGCGGAAAGGAAGAGTCTTTATCTGGGTCAGGGGTCAGTTTAACTCAGACCCCAGGGTCTGCTTTGATTCTCTCAGCCCCACATCACTAAGTGTCTCCATTGTTTTCCCTGAGCTCCTCCAGATGTATTGAGATGTATTGAGAAGCTGGAGTTGGTGTGGTGAATGAAGACTATGCAGATTATAGAATGAAACAGTGCCATTTGCAGCAACATAGTTAGACCTAGAGATGATGATACTGTTAATTAAGCCAGAGAAAGACAAATATCATGATACCACTTTTATGTGGAATCTACAGAATGATACAAATGAACAAATTAAGACGGAAACCGACGCAGAGACTAAAACAACAAGCTTATCGCTACCAAAGGGGAAAGGAGGGGAGGGATAAATTAGGAGTTTGCGATGAGCAGATACACACTACTATATAAAAAATAGATAAACAACAAGGACCTACTTGTAGCACAGGGAACTCCACTCAATATTTTGTATTCAGTTCAGTTCAGTCGCTCAGTCGGGTCTGACTCTTTGAGACTCCATGAGCTGCAGCACGCCAGGCTTCCCTGTCCAACACCAACTCCTGGAGTTTACCCAAACTCATGTCCATGAATTCGGTGATGCCATCCAGCCATCTCATCCTCTGTCGTCCCCTTCTCCTCTTACCCTCAATCTTTCCCAGCATCAGGGTCTTTTCAAACGAGTCAGCTCTTCGCATCAGGTGACCAAAGTATTGGAGCTTCAGCTTCAGCATCAGTCGTTCCAATGAACACCCAGGACTGATCTCCTTTAGAATGGACTGGTTGGATCTCCTTGCAGTCCAAGGGACTCTCAAGAGTCTTCTCCAACACCACAGTTCAAAAGCATCAATTCTTCAGCGCTCAGCTTTCTTTATAGCCCAACTCTCACATCCATACGTGACCACTGGAAAAACCCAGCCTTGACTAGATGGACCTTTGTTGGCAAAGTAATGTCTGTGCTTTTTAATATACTGTCTAGGTTGGTCATAACTTTCCTTCCAAGGAGTAAGCATCTTTTAATTTCATGGCTGCAGTCACCATCTGCAGTGATTTTGGAGCCCAGAAAAATAAAGTCAGCCACTGTTTCCACTGTCTCCCCAACTACTTGTCATGAAGTGATGGGACCGGATGCCATGATCTTAGTTTTCTGAATGTTGAGCTTTAAGCCGACTTTTTCACTCTCCTCTTTCACTTTCATCAAGAAGCTCTTTAGTTCTTCTTCGCTTTCTGCCATAAGGGTGGTGTCATCTGCACATCTGAAGTTATTGATATTTCTCCCGGAAATCTTGATTCCAGCTTGTGCTTCCTCCAGCCCAGTGTTTCTCATGATATACTCTGCAAATAAGTTAAATACGCAGGGTGACAATATATAGCCTTGACGCACTCCTTTTCCTATTTGGAACCAGTGTGTTGTTCCATGTCCTAACTGTTGCTTCCTGACCTGCATACAGGTTTCTCAAGAGGCAGGTCAGGTGGTCTGGTGTTCCCATCTCTTTCAGAATTTTCCACAGTTTATTGTGATCCACAGTCAAGGGCTCTGGCATAGTTAATAAAGCAGAAATAGAAGTTTTTCTGCAATTCTCTTGCTTTTTAGATGATCCAGCGGATGTTGGCAATTGGATCTCTGGTTCTTCTGCCTTTTCTAAAACCAGCTTGAACATCTGGAGGTTCACAGTTCGGATATTGCTGATGTAGACTTTGATGAAGTTTTAATGCAGGCATCATTTCTTGCAAACACCACCACAAACATACAGCGCAATTCCACCACTTTCCTCCCAGGGTCTTCAACTGTGGATTCCGCTTCTTTAATGTCAGGCAGTCAAGAGCTTCACGTGCTGAAGGCTTCCCGGGACTGCAGATCCAACCGAGTTCAGCTCAGCTGAGTTGAGCCTTCACCTCAGCTTTGAGGTGCTTTCGGACCTGGCCCGTGTGCGCCACCCAGCGGCTAGTCCGTGACACGGGGTGGCCTTTCCCCAGGTCTCCGTCTGGGGAACTGTCTCAGGGTCCCGCCCGGCTGGCACGGCTTGGAGGGTGAGCTGACTGTCCAGGGTCCCTTTCTGGAGCTGCGTCCTCTTCCTCAACTCCCTGACCCCTTCGCAGCTCCCAGAGACCTCCCCCGGCTTCCTGGTCCTCTGGTTGGAAAGCTGAGGCTTTTGTCTTCCCTGTCGGCTTGGATCAGCCTCCAGGGCCCGTCAGAGGGAGCACGCGGAGAAACACGCACTGGCTTCCCTGCCAGCCGCCCCCACGCTGCTTCTTCAATTCCTTTAAAAAAAAAAGATTTATTTATTTATTTTCTGGCTTGGCTGAGTCGTTTGTTGCTGCACTCAGGCTTTCTCTACTTGTGGTGAGCAGGGCCTACTCTAGTTGCAAGGGGCAGGCTTCTCACTTGTGGTGGCTTCTCTTGTGCCCAGCGGACGTTCGAGGGGCGGGGCCTCCGGGGGCGGCACCTCCGGGGCGGGGCCTCCGGGGGCGGGACCTCCGGGGCGGGGCCTCCGGGGCGGGACCTCCGGGGGCGGGGCCTCCGGGGCGGGGCCTCCAGGGGCGGGGCCTCCGGGGGGCGGGACCTCCGGGGGCGGGACCTCCGGGGGCGGGGCCTTTGGCAGCTGCGGCTCTCAGGCCCTAGGCTTCAGTAGCCGGGGCACACAGGGTTGCTTGCTCTACAGCATGCGGAACCTTCCCGAACCAGGGGTCAAACTCATGTCCCCTGCATAGGTAGGTGGATTCTTACCCACCGAGCCACCAGGGAAGGCCTGATCCTTTCTGTTGGTAGATGTCTGAGTGGTGTCAAGTTATGACTGTTATGAGGAGTGTTGCTCTGACATTCTGGTCCATGCCTTTGGTGAACATCTATATACCTTCTTCTTAGCATTTAAAG